AAAAAAAAAAAAAAAAAAATGAACAAAACCAGGTTAATCATAAAAAAAATGAAGAAAATAGAACGGTGAGTATACCTATACTCATAGGTATCATCGAAATACTTCTCGGAGTACTGGATCTGACCCATCCTTAAAAACTAGGGTTTGCAAAGTTGCTAGATTCAATCTGCTAAAAAACTAAACAAATATTTTCAATTGAAATAATCAAATAACCGGAAATGACGATTCTGTGAAAGAGAAAATAGAGAGAGAGAGAGAGAGGGTACTCACCTGAAAAATGAGAATTGAGTGAGAGAGAGAGAGTGGTGGAGTGGGGTGTTGTGAAATGTGAAGAAGAGAAGAATATATTGTACTCTAAATTTTGGAATAGGGAAGGATGAAATGGTAAATTCCTCTGTATACTAATATTTTGTGACTATGTGCTTTTTTTTTTTCTTTTCTTTAATGATACAATTCAAAATATAAAAATTAACGGCTGGCAACGGCTTGATTTTTAGCCTTTCAAAATTTGGAATTTCCCGCTTCTACACCCTGACATCAGTAAATCAAATATTGAACGTTGGTGATACAAACCCCTCACATGTATTTTTCAAAGACCTTACTCCTTATATTAGTTGAATTTCATTATAATAAAAAAAAATTATTATAAAAAATTATAATAATATATACTCTTTTTTAAAATTATAATATTTGTATCATAAGCATTTAAAGTATAAAAATAAATATAACTAAAAATATTAAATTGATTCATGTAATCCAAAAATCGTCACGAAATTCAATTCTAATATTTTTTTATCATAAAAGAGTTTGCTCAGTTATTTATTTAAAAACTCTTCAAATTAGCTTAAAATAAATCTTCTCAATTCTTTGTTTGAAATCTCTTTAAATTAGATTAATGTTAGAACAATCATTAGATTAATATTAAAATCACAGTAATTTTTCACTTTCATTGACTTGGTATAAATAAAGGTAGTTTATATTTATTTGCAATTTCTTCAAATTAGATTAATGTTAAAACAATCATTAGATTAATGTTAAAATCATGGTAATTTTTCACTTTTATTGACTTGGTATAAATAAAGGCAGTTTATATTTCTATTAAAATAAAATAAAAACAAAAAAGTGAGCAATTAATATTGGTTGATAGTTAAAATTAAGGATTGAATAGTTATATTTTTTTCTTAATTTTACTCTTCAAAGATACATATAAGTATGAGTGTTCAAAGTGCAGTTTTGTTCCATATTGTAAAATTCATTCAAATTAAACAAAAAAAAAATTAAGAAAGGTTTGTTTTGGTTAAAAATATTGTGATTTATTTCAATTCGAGTTGAATGTATTATGAAATTCAAATCAATATTTTAATTTAGTTTGGCTTTTATAATTTTTAAAATTTATTATTTAAAAATTAGTTTAAAATATGCAATATTATGTTATTTATTTAAAAATTGTGCGTAAAAATAAATTAAAAGTATATAAATGCTAAATATAATACTTACCTTATTATTTTTAGTAAAAATATTTATTTAATATAATTTTAGTTATCATATTAAATATTTTTGTCTCAATATATATACATATATATATATAATTTATCAATTGAAATTAAATTATTTTAAAATGTTATAAATAATTTATTTTTATTCTAAAATTCAGTTTAATAACTTATACCAAATATATTATAACATACATTTAGGGAAGAAAAAAAAATAGTAGCATAATTTAATAGCATACATTTTTATTAAAAAAAAACATTTTATGTTATGTGTGTTAATTTTATATATCTACACGTGCTTTTGAAGAAAAAAAATATATAGTTATATACGTCTATACTTCTATACTATATACATAATTATATATAGAGGGATACCTCTTTTGATTTTCATGCTTTTTGAACATTTATACTTCTTTATTATATATTAAAAAAAATGTAATCATCTTATTTTGTAATCACCTTCGATCTCTATTTTTGTTTTAAAGTTATTTTTTTCTTTTAATTATATATATTATTTCACTTAATTTACGCTTTATATTTTTTAATATATTTTTTTTACTTTTATTTTTATGATTTACATATAAGTGCAATTGAATTTGATTTTAGTCAATTTTCTATCCAATCCAAAAATTAAACCGAATCCCATGGTTTAGCGAAATAAAAAACCAAATCATAAACAATAAGTTATGTCAGCCTTAGGGTAATGTGTTTGGGGCAGGGTCCATTAAGGGAATGTAGGCTCGAGTTTATGGTTTTCCTTAGATTTTCGATTTTTATATTTTGAATTAATTTAAAATTTTTTGTTTTGAGTCAATTCGATTTTGAATATCTTTACATATAAATAAAAAATATATATATATATATATGTATTAATATATATATATATATATAAAAGATATAAAAAAATATTTTCTTTATATATTACTATAAATATATATCTCATATTCATTTTGCATAAATACAATATCACTAAACAAAAGATAGGAAGTTATGTGTCTTATAAAGTAATAACCTGAAACATAAGTTCCAACTTCCAAAAATACATTAAAACAAAGTCATAACATATTACATGTACTAAAAACTACTACAAAATAATAAAATAGAAGATTGTCCTTCAATCCCAAAATTCCCAATAAACATGTGAACAAAAATCCTAGAATATTGATAAGAGTGAAAATAAGTCTTGTTAAGAGCTATTGTTTTAGTCTAATTAAGATTGTAACATCTCATTTTTTTTATAAAATATAATATAAGTATTTTATTAATAATTTTGATTATTTTATTTTATTAATAGAGATTGTTAGATAATTATTTAATATAGTTAAGTTTTTTTAACTGAAGGAGGATTGAAGGAAGGAAGGTTAAGATTTTTAAAAGAAAGTTTTGTAATCAAACCCTTTTATGTCTCTATTCAGAGCTCACAGAATAGGAGTAAGAAAGAAATCATATCGAAGTCGTGCACCCATCGTTTGTAGTTTATCTAGTTAACGGGGAGTGAGAAACATCGCTCTAAGTATGAGTTTGTATGCTGGATGGTGGGATTGGCCTCCAATATTGTGTAAGTTGTATGCTCATGTATGAGAGATTTTTCCCAATTATGTCTATTCCACTTTTTGTTTTTCTTGTATGTAATTAATAACATGAATTGTTGAATGAATGATTAATTTTATATTTTGGATTATAATCGTATGATTTGAGGTTCTTGTGAGTTTCTATGGAAAACCCTAAAAAGGACTTGTTATGATGACAATGAAAGGATAATAATTGTATGTGTGAATTGGATGATATTAGACATTAATTACTTATTATAGAACGCTTTTATCGATTGAATGGTATGTTTTGATGAATTGATTTATGACTTAAAATTATTTGTTTTATTGTTATATATGAAAAGTTGTTATTTATGGCTTGAAATTTTGTCTTAAGTGTCTTATTGTTATTTATGAAAAATAGTTTTTGGTTGACCTCATCTGTTTGCCTCTTAGTCAACGAGATATCATTCTTGAAATGGTCTCGTTATCTTCTAATTATGTCCTTTTAAACTTCTTTGAAAAATTCATAACCTTTGATGCGAGTAAGAGTGCAAAGTTTTTAACTACTAATAAGATAAACATTTGTTTAAAAGAAAACGATAAGTATACATGATTCTTGCCTATTTGAAACTTGAGAAAGATAATGAGCTTACTGAGATCCCTCTTGTGAGAGTTTCCCGAGGTTTTCCCTAAAGACATTCCAGCTTACCACCTGAGAGAGAGACTAAATTTTCATAGACTTAGTACTTAGTTCTTACTCATATCTATTGCACCCTATAGGATGTCTCATAAGGAGTTAGTTGAAGTTGAGAAACAAATAAAAAGGCTTTAAGAGAAATAGTTCATTAGGCTGAGTGTGGCACCTTGGGGAGCGTCTGTGTTGCTAGTGAAAAAAAGGATAGGAGCATGAGATTGTGTGTAGACTACAATCAACTTAATAAGGTTACCATTAAGAATAAATATCATTTGCTTAGGATAGATGACCTTATGAACCAACTAGTTGGGACTTGTGTGTTTAGCGAGATAGATTTGAGATTAAGTTATCACCAAATTCGAGTGAAATCTGAGGACATTCCAAAGACTGTTTTTAGGAACCGCTATGAGTACTATGAGTATTTAGTTATGCTTTTAGTGTGACTAATGCACCCGGAGTATTCATGGATTACATGAATATAATCTTCCATCCATACCTTGATAAGTTTGTAATAATCTTCATAGATGACATCCTTATATATTTTAGGACTAGGGAAGAGCATACCGAGCATCTTAGGATAATGACCAAAAAGAGATTGTCATGAGACAAAGGAGATGATTAAAGTTCCTTAAAGACTATGACTTTGAGCTTAGCTATCATTTTGGTAAAGCTAATGTAGTGGCTGATGCTTTGAATAAAAAATCCCTTCAAGTGTCTACTTTGATGGTTAGAGAGCTTAGCTTGTTAGAAGAGTTTAGAGACTTCAATTTGGCCTTTGAGTTGACCTCTATGAGCATTATATTGGGAACCATGAGAGGAACCAATAACCTAATAGATGAGATTAGAGAGGGTCAAACGATAGATATTTTCTTGTTAAGTCAGATAGAGAAGTTGAACCAAGGGAAAGAGAGTGAGTTTAGAGTTGGTGTGGATGGAGTGTTGAAGCTTAAGTATAGGTTGTATGTTCCTTGTGTGCCTGAGCTTAAGAAGATGATCCTTGAGGAAGGTCATAATAGTAGTCTTAGTATCCACCCAAGAGCCACTAAGTTATACCAAGACCTTAAAAAGATATTTTGGTGGCCTAGGATAAAGAGAGAGACAAAAGAGTTTGTTTATGCGTGCTTAGTTTGTCAAAAGTTTAAGATAGAACACTAGAAATCTTCAGAAAATTTTAGCAAACATCCAAAATTACTAGTGAATGAAAAAAAATATATAATGGTTGGATTTTGATGAGAAAAAGTGAAGCTAATATAATTTTTTGATAATTAATATTTTTTTCTTTGCCAAATATGAATTATCGCTTTCATTATAGGATAAACAACCATCACAAAAAAAAGTATGTTAAATTTGCAACATTCATAAATTGTATGCGAATATGTTGATAAAACATTATTAAATTTAAGACATATTAATTGTGTGGAAAGAAGATAATTATAAATCAAAAGATGAGAGAAAAAATATAGAGAATTGAGAAAAGAGAATATTTTAAAAATAAAAATTATTTAATTTTTAAAATAATTTTTATGAATGAATTTTATATCCATTCAAAAAAAAATGTTAATAAATCATATATATTTGATTTCTAAATGATTTTTTTTAATAAATTCAAGTGGATTAATAAATTATTTTGATTTAATCTACATTACAATCTAAATAAAAAAAAATGTGATCCATCTATTTATCAGCTTTAGCTATACTTAAGTATCAAAATAATGATTTACACTTTGCAACTTTTTTGGAAAAGTCATTTTATTTTGCAAATCTTAACATCATTCTACCCTACATGTAAAGTTAGTCCAAAGTAATTAAGGGCGTGGCCAAGGGAGATTGGGGTGCCATTGTCCCCCCTCCTCCAAAATGTGTATGTAAAAATATTTTATGGCTCTCTAAGAAAAATAAATAAATAAAATTTTGATATTGGCCCTTCTCAAGAAGATGTCTTGTCTCTGTCGCCGAAAGTCATGCATGTGACTCATGATTTTCAAGTTTGCAAACTCAAATCCAAACAGATAAAGTGTAATATAGGACCCGCTTTGGAACATGGTGAACACTAATATTAGAAGTGATAAATAAGTTTGACATAAAATTTTGAAAATCCCATGTCTTGATTTCTATAGTATTTTTAAAATCCAAGCACCCCTAATTTTTTTCATTCCTATCTAACATAAAGCATGATGAGCATATACTCTTTGCATATATTTATAAGTGTACTCAGTTATGCACCTAGCAAAATCCATAAATTCATATTTGCAAATGAGCCACTCCAAATTTTAACATAATCCAAGTAAAAGTACTTCAAAGTGCAGGAATTGGCTTATGTAGTAACGAGGTTCCTTGAAACGTCATCATGTGATAGTATCTCCTATAATTGTTGATCTGCAATGAGAATCAAAATAAGTTTAAGAAAGAAAATAACTAATGAAACTCAAAAAATAAACACAATAGTATTACGAACCCCATCTTGGTCTAGCTTTGTAAATCCAAATTTACTAGTCCATAATGATTCAGCTTCAGTTGCAGCAGGTAGAACAAAATGTTTAACTTTTAATGTTCTAAGCAAATCCTCGATACAATTAAATAGGGTTTTGAAGTAACCCTGAAAGAAAATTATATAATTTTCAGTAAGAATATTTTGCACAATCTTAGTTCACTTTAAACAATTTCTCAAATTAAAAAATAATGTGAATATTCATTGTAAAGTATATTAGACAACCTGTCCTTGATAATCGGCAACAGTTGCCACCAAGGGAAGTTCCGCCACTTCTAGCCCAAACACACGGAATATTCCAGCAGATACAATCATTTGACTGTAAAATCATGAAATACACACAATAATCGTGTATGTTTTTAAAAACAAAATAATATTTAACAAAACAAAAACATTACACTTACTTCACAATTAGCACTGCACAATACATTCCTCTAAAATCTTGACTCTTAGTCTTCCTTCTATGGAATACAGCCAACAAAATCAAATTTTATCACATGTATATACATTTTATAAAAGAAAGTCAATAATACAAAATCTTACCCAAAAAGCATTGTTGGAATGAAATCAACTCTAGTAGTAGGATGAACTATTGGATCAAATTGCTCCTACAAAACACATTCCATTTTGAATAAGATCACTTGAGTCATTGAATCAAAACACTAAATTTTCACTTAAAGTAATATTCAAATAAGCCTCCAAATGTTAATTTGTTCTTGATCTCACTTAAAACAGTACATATGAAAGATAACAATAAATTAAGCAATACAAAAATCACAATATACTCACGTGAAAAATATCAACAACTTTTGAAAGCATTTCTTCATTCTCATCAGATTCATCCAATTTCCAGTTTAGAACCCTCCATTTTATATCTAGATCATCCCCATTTTTTAATCCTTTGTCATCATATTTCTTTTTAATCACACTCAGGAGGGAATTTGGAATATTTTCTTCACCACGAGCCACCAAACTCGCCAAATCAGTATGAATTTGATTACAATTTGAACTACAGAACCAATTCCCTTTAGGTAATTCCTGGTAATAGCATCTAACAATGAATGATTACATGTATTAATTAAAAAATCAAAAGGAGAAAACAATTATATGGCACCTTTAGATTTTGAATATTATGATTCTTCAAACACACAATATGGTATTCCTTTTCGCACTGTGAGCACAGACATAAATTATTAATTTAAATCGAAATAGATAGTATACAATAATTGAAATATAATTATTAAGGCATTATAGTGAATGATTCACATGAAGTAATACCTGGTCACAAATAATTACTGTTCGAGGACCAAAGCTTTTGGTAAAATATTGACATCTGGATCATCAAATAAATATATTAAAGTAGTAAGAAAACTTGTAACCAAGATAGGAAAAAAAAAACAAGTGAACTATAAGAACAAATGTTTGTAATATCACTACATTTGCTATTGTTAATCAACCACAAAAGATCATAGAGGAGAACATAAAAAACACATATATATATATAAGATGAGGGAGTTTATAATTACACCAGTGTAACTTTTATTAAGTATTATACTGCTTAATAACTTTATATTAAATGTGAATTTTGTAAATCCAACCGTTAAATTGAAAGTTCACATCTATTAAATCATATATACAAAATTTTATATTAATCTAAGATGATTTGATACTTCATTTTTATAAAATAAAATTGACGTAATATATTCATTTCAAAATACACTAAAATATGAATACTTTGACTACTTCAAGTTGTTGTTCAATTTTAACAAAATTTGATATACACGTATAAAATGATATTAATTTTTAATTTAACAGTTGAATTTACAAAATTTATAATTAATATAAAGTTATTGAGCAGTGTAATACTTAATAAAAGTTATACCGGTGTAATTATAACCTCCCTCGTATAAGATATAATAACTTGCTAAAAAAATTATACAAGATATTACCTACAGAGTGCACATCCACCATAGTCAAACTCTTTGACAATACGAATGCATCTTTGATTTATTTGTTCTAAAGGATCAATGCCATCAATCCTTCCAGCTGCCTTAGCATTTTCATTACGCTCAACATATTTGTCCTTCTGGAACTTATTCTGACAATATTTACAATACCAAACACCACTTGGAATACATGGAAGATTTACGCATTCTGTAAGAAGAAAAGGGACTAAAGCTTATTATTTTGGCTCTCATTCAAACTACAATATAAAAATTTGCAAACACTGATTATGATGTGATGGATTCAAATATTAATCCCAAGTTAATTTTATACAAGGAAAAATATATGTTCTATATAGAACAATGGCGAAAGTAATAATGAGATCAGTTACAAACAATCTTTATGCAGATATATAGCATTCAGACAAAACTAATTACTTGAAAGACTTGAGTATATATTTTTAATTCCTGTAAAAAAAAAATTGTCCCTATAAATCTTTATCTTTATTTTTCACCCTTTAAAATTTTAAAAACATTGTTATAGGTTCTTGTAAAACAAATCTTTAGTTTTAATCTTTGCAAAATATTTTTGTTTAATTTTCATTTTCATAAAAATTGAAATCATTAATTTTGGTCTTCGATTTTCATTTTAAGATAAATAAATGATATTTATTTTAAGCATCTTCAATTTGTTTAAAGATGCCACATGTTAATATATTATTACAAACACTAACAAGTGTCACCTATGATGATTACTTGAGATTGTGTTCAACACATAAGTAATTAAAAAGTTTCATTGATAGTATACCAATGATATTCAACTTTTAAAAAATTAAAAATAAAAAAAATATTTTACAAACATTAAAATCAAAATTAGCTAATTTTATAGTGATTAAAAACATATTTAAATTTATTTAAAATATAAAAGTAAGAATTCACCTTTGTGAAAAGCTCTTGGGCAACTATCACAACACAAAAGATCCCCTCCATCTAAACATATTCTGCAAAGGTCATCGTTATCATTGGTAGAAAACCTAGGATCTTTCGATAAGGTGATGGACAACTCATGAAGTGAGACTCCATTAGATGTGTATATGTGTAGGTAGCTGCAATAAATTAAAAAATATTAAATTGGAAATAATCATTGGTCCACTCCTAAAAACACTAATGTAATTATTGGTTTATATATCACAAAAAATAATAATTAATTTTAATTTAGATATTACTATCAATTATTATAACATTCTTAATTAGTTACCACTAATTATATATAAAATACCAAAATTCATTTATCTTAAGTATAATTATATGATTATATATATTATTTATGAGTCATTTATCTATTTGATGTGGGGTTTTAATTATGGGTAACAATTAGAGATGAGAGAAATATATTTTTTTTACTCGACATGAGACTTTCATTTTAGAAGCAATTATAGTAACATTTAAAAAAAATGTTGTAAAATAACCTATGTGACATATTTTTACTCGATATGAGACTTTAATTTTGAAAATAATTAAAAATAAAAATATTATCTTATCTATAATGATATTTTTCAAAAAAATGTTGTAAATTAAAATAACTTGTTTATTCGATATATAGTAACATTATAAGAAAGAAAATGTTGTTAAAGAATTAAAATATAGTAATAGTGAAATAAAAAAAAAAGATTGAATCCCACTAAAAAAGTTATTCAAAAAAATTTTAAAAAAAACATATATTGAGTCTTTTAATCCACAACTTGATGCATAAATAAGGTACAAGACACCAACACCCACTAAGTTAAGCAACTTACGGCTTTCGTCGGGATGCCCAACCAGCATGTGCTTCAAATTGAGAAGGGCTAAGCTGTTCATCCATTTTTTATGTAAAGAAAACATGTCAAATATGTCATCAAATAAAATATTTAGGACACCATATACTAAAACATAATAAGAAGTACCTCGTTGTTACAACAACTACAAATAATTCCATATCCTTTTTTGTAACCAACCAAAAGTTTCTGCCCACATAATAAAAAACACAATTAGAAAAGTTTAAAGTTGCAAAAAAATAAGTATATAAGAATAAGTCATTATCAAGGCAACCTGTCCATGAGAGTAGTATGATACTTCAGTTCCATCCGGCAACACATCCGCCTCAAAAACCAACTTATGCAAACGTAAATCCCTTTCAAATTTTTAAAAACAAACAAATGAAATATAATATATCTAATAAGACTAAAACATAAGATGTCAATACACGCAAATGTTTTAAATATGCATAGCAGAAACACACTTACTTCTTCGTTAGTTTTCCTTGACTCTTACGATGACATGCATTTTGTTTCATTCCACTATCTACTAATTTTGGAAGCATGTCTGGTTCTAGGGATCTAAAACAATCATATAAGGGATGTTATGTCAATATAACTAAAAGAAATGCAAAAAACGCATAACTCAACTATATATCATATAAAAAATATTATGTGTGTTTAATCAAACAAAAATTTATATGTATCAATTTGTAGTTTGTTATACATGTGAACATGTTTATAGATGAGAAGTCAAGTAGTAAATATAGAAACAAGTAAACCTTATAATTGATTCTACATGCTCCATTTTTTAAGTGAATGACATTATAATGTGTAAAGTTATTAATTATTAACAAGTTTTGAACCTTTATTTCATATACCCTCATTATTAATGCTAGACTTAATTGCATTTTTGATCCCTCAAGTATTGTAATTGTGCAATTTTAATCCTCAAGGTTTTAATTAGGTAATTTTAGTCCTTAAAGAATTATAATTGTGCAATTTTGGTCCTTTAATTTTTAATTGAACACTTTTAGTCCCTCAAATATCATAATTGTGTAATTTTAGTCCCTCAATAATATCATAATTATGAAATTTTAGTCTTTCTCATTACAAATTTAATAATTTTAATATATAAATTAAAAGTTACTAACAGTAACTTTTATACTGGTTTGATATATATTTATATTTTTGTAAAAAGATATTAATATATACTAAGTTATATTTATCAAATTATTAATTTATCTATAAATATACTAATAATATTATTGATATTAATTTATTAGTAATATTATAAAAATAATAATATATAAATTTTATTTATTTAGTAATAATAATAAATATATATTATTTGATACATTAACGAAAATTATAATATACGTTAACTTGAATAGATAAATAATTGTATTCTTTTAAAATAATGTATATATATATATATTAAAATTATTAAATTTGTAATGGAAGAAACTAAAATTACACAATTATAATATTTGAAGGACTAAAATTGCACAATTATGATATTTGAGGGACTAAAATTGTTTAATTAAAAATTAAAGGACCAAAATTGCACAATTACAATTTTTTAGGGACTAAAGTTACGCCATTAAAACCTTGAGGATTAAAATTGCATAATTGTAATACTTGAGGGATCAAAAATGCAATTAAGCCTTAATGTTAATACATAACAACACTAAAAAGCTATATCAAGTATCATTATTCCATTAAAATACTACCTTGTGTTCTTTGTATGAGGAATAAATGATAGTATGTTTTATACTATCATTTGCTATTTATAAAAAGGATTGAAGGAAATATTAAAATGTTAAAAGAAATTATTTCACAAAAGTGTAAAACAAAATATCAAAGTTTTGTGATAGATAAGCTTATCTTAAACTCTTAAGGTGTGTTATTTGTATTGTAATTATGATTATAAAACATAAATACCTGGATTGAACTGCTTCTGAAAGATAAATATTGCTAGTCTCTGTTGTTTGAGTGGGGAAAGGTTGACAGTCCTTTAACATTGTGCATGAATTGCAAAATAATCTTGATACAACATTGACATCTACAAAAGTATACAACACAACTCATTTGTTTGTTAAACTATCTAAAACAAGTGAGCATACACAAAAAAAAAATGTGGCAAAATTAAATGCATGGATTCCAAACCTCTACAGTTCACACAAAATTTTGATTTCTTGAATATAAAGGCTCCAAGTATCCTTTGCAGAGCTTCCTCCAAAGTTCTTAATGGAATGTTCAAAAACATATTCATAACATCACGAAGAGTATTCCCATTCTCAAGAAAAATATACTCTGGGGGGCGCTTGTTTGAACTACCAGCATGCAACTCAAAAACTGTGGGTGTCACAACCTAGTTTCATCAATAAACATTTTTTAAAAGTTAACCAATGGATCTTAACATGATATCGACTACCAAGATCTTAAAAAAGTGTCCATAATCACAATTTTAGTCATAACTCAAGGAATTGGGATGTTTGATGATCATAACTCAGTAACATTTGATAAATAAAAAAATTTGTAATATCAAAAATTCAAAAAAGGAATTAATTTTATTCAAACATGACTTTTCCTTTTTAGATTTATCTACTTTTGCCTTTTATTTTGAATATCATGACTAATCACATAACATTTCATTAGTACTTTTTTATACTTCAATTTTTTTTTTGCAATTTATTAATTGTATAGCAATTGATTCCTTAAATTTATAAACTTCTCTAACCAAATCCAAAAAAATTATATATCTTATTATTAATCATTTATCTCATACATGACAAAGACAATTGTAATTTAAAACCTTGTTGATTGTTGCAACATAAAATTCATTTTCGTTCACTTACCTCAATCCCATTACAAACTTCACAATAACACACAACCCCGTTGCCAGAAATTACTCCTCGGGTACCTACAACTTTTGCCTACAAAAAAAGTAGGCTAACTTTAAACATAAATTCACATATCACAAAAACTCCAGTAAACTTTAACAAGTAAACAAGAAAATACCTTTGTGCTACGAACATAATTCACAGGTAGTCCATCAAGAATCCTAGAGGATAAAAGGTCTTTTAGCTTAGAAGGAAACTTATTCCCTGCAAAATCCTTAGTTATTTTTACAAAATCACTCTCAACTTTCTTTTGAACACCATCACTTGCCACCTTACCATCACCATCATCCAAGTTCTTCAGTGTTGATTGTGTAAACCTCCTTGTGGGTTTCGCTTTGCAACCTAACATTGAATCATTCCCACCGGCTCCATCTTTGATCTCATCATCACAAGTAAGCTGCTTTTTTGTTTGCACCACCTTAGTTTTAGTCTCATCACTCTTGTACATCTCTTTACACACAATCGTTGTAGCTTCACCACCCACTTGGCTCTTGGGTTCCTCGGAGTTGTACGCATCACTCTTTGCCTTTTTCTCATTCATAGTATCACCATCCTCCTCCTTGTTTTTTACCAAATCAGTAAGATTTCCACTTTTTGGTTTCTCTAAATTAGATTTTTTATACCTTTTTTTGTTGGAGCGATTGGGGACTTGAACTGCATTTTGGGTCATGTTGGAGCGAGTTCGACCCGTAGAAACATAGATCTCAGACTGGTACTTCATGGCAAAGGCGAATTCTCTCTTAAGGCCAGTGCGGACCCCGGACAACATCGTGAGTTGCTTGAAGTTTATATCGTTCACTGTGTGAGTATGGGTATCAAATCAATTGATAAGAAACCTATAATTTCATAAACAAAGGTGATAAATAACATGAAGGTTTTAAGGTTGCAAGGGTGTGTGAGCAAATAGAAGGGGAATTAGGGTTTGAAGAAGGAATTGGGAGATTTGAGAATTGGGTCGGAAAGGGATGGGAAAAAAGATAAGGTTTAAGGTAAAGAATTGTCGATTGCCTTTAAAAAGGCGAAGAGAGCGTATTTGATTTACCTAATGCCCAAATTAACCCTATCATCTCTAAGACTTATTTTTTACTTAGTTTTTTCTCTCTCTTTCACTCTTTCTTCGTGTTTTGTGTATTTTAAATTATGTCCGTTCTTTTTTAAACTTAATTTATGTGTTGTTCATACAAAAAAAATCATATGTATTTAACAAGAGATTCTCCAATTATCGCATGTTATTAATGAATATATATATTTATATTTTTTCAAATTTTTTTTAAATTTTATGTATTGTTAATTTAAAAAATATTACATCTTTTAATAAAAATATTACATTGATAATTAGTAAAAAAAATCTTATAGTTATTATAAAAAAATTAATGAAACTATTATTTATGACAATATATAACTAACAACTTGTTTATGATAGAATGAGATGATATGATAATTTTATCATATCATGTTGGTTTTTTTTCTTGTCACGATGAAAAAATTGACTTATAATAGTAAAATGATATGATAAACTCTCTTTATGTATATTTTATGTCGAATATTATAATTATAATAATAAATATTATTTAATTATATATATATATATATATATATATATATGTTTAAGTTATAATTAAGGCATATAATATAATATTAAAAAGTATATTTATTGTTTGTTTAATTGTATAATATTATACTACATTTACACTAACTAACGTTAATAGTCTAAAATCTTTTATGTTGATACTGCATATTCATTAAAATCTTATATTTTTTTAATACTTGAATCTTTTAAATTATTAAAATATAAATTAATAATGATACCAATTTAATAATTTAAAATATAATAATATTTAAATAATTTTTGAAATTGTATAATTTATTACAATAAATAACTTAGTTCTTAATATAATAACACGACAGTTAGGTTCTTCAATATCAATGAAGACAGGGTTGAGTTTAAATGTCTAGACTTAATTGTATTTTTAATTTTCTAAACATTGTAGTTATGAGGTGACATGTTAAAATAGAATAAGAAATTATCAAAATATTAAATAAGTTTTGAATCTTGATCCTTAACTCATAAAACAACACTTAAACATTAAACAAATAGGTTTATTAGATAAATATATAAAAGTGATTATGTATATTTTAAATGGGAATCAAAATTTAATATATATATTTTATTTAATAATTATATTATTAGTACAAAATATTTATCAATTTTACGAATAACTAATTTTTATTAAAAAATTTATTTAGTCACATTTAGTAAGTTTTTCCTCCCGACTATTATTTTTCATTAACAATATATTTAAATTCAAAACTAAAAAGTGACTAAACCTTCTTTAAATATGTTTTAAGTCTTTACAAATATAATAAGATTTAATTTTAGTTGAAATTTTTAAACTCTCCTTTTTTTCAACTCATTTTCAAACATGTATTGTATTTTCTGGGAGATGAAGGAAGAGAGTCAAATTCTTCCTTCACTCTATCTTCTTGTTATTTTTTATGAAATAATTCACATCAACTAATAATATAATCAAAATAATATATTTAAGTACAAAATAACTCTCACTTTTTTAAGTTAACTTTTGTATTGAATTCAAATTTTAAAATAATCTCATAATCTATTTTATTCTTTACCTATTAAATTAATTATCGAAATATTCATATATGTTCCAACTTCATATTTAATATATTTAATCCGTCTTATGGAGATATATAGATGTTGGGCAACCTTCTTCCTAAACTAGGTTTTGAAATTTAAATAAGTTGAAACCCAAAATTTAAGACCACACATTCTCTAACTACATCAATGCCATGTTATTAGAAAATGGATTACACGGTGAAAATGTTTGACAAAAACAGTGAATCGATTCTGCTTTGTGGATTAGCCTCAAGGTATTATCATTTATTGTTTTCAATGGATATGATGTCATGAAAAATTAATATGATAATTTGAAAAATCAAACCACATCAATTAGTTTTGTTTGATTTAGACCTCACAGTTGTCATTGGATTTTTTTTTCCAACTTTTTTGTTTGTTTAATACATTAGAATCTATTATTTTATTAATCAATCTACTATATATTAATTTACGCAAAATTGTTCAAATTTGATGAATGGCGTCTATTTTAGTACTTCTTTGCATTAATTTATATTGACAAATATTTATAAAATATATTATATTCAAAAATTTATTATTTATATTAAATTTTAACAATTTAATCATTAAATTAATTTTTTAAAAAATGAATAAATTAAGTCTATAAATTTTTTAAAAATTTTAAATTTTTTTGATACTTTATTATATAGATACAAATTAACATATAATACACTTTTATAAATATATTCACCATTCTAATCCCCGGCAACGGCGCCAAAAACTTGTTGAGATCTCCGTTTAAACACTTTTGTTTTAATCTATAAATCAGTTAGATTCTATTAACGGTATCAAACACGACAAGTATACCGGTCGTTCAAGTAGTAAAAATATCGTATCCACAGGGATTAGAAGGTAACATAAGCATTTATTGACTATTCGTGACTAAAGAATGATTCCAATTTGTAGTTTGTCATGTGAATGTGAATTAAAGATCATGACTACTGGAATGAAAATTATAAAAATATTTGGTTGTGAGTGGAAAAGGTTAGAAATGATATTGTGGTATTGTGAGGTT